GGATGATTTGATTATATCTGATTGATTTTTATGTAGTTACAGATAATAATAAGCATCATTGTTACACACCTTTTTATCATCTACAAAATTTATTAAATTTAAATACGTTTCATACATTAAATATCGGACCATTTACAAAATTTCTTAAATTTAAATAATGATAATTATTTCGATTCATTTTAATAACTTAATCTCCTCGTAACTGTTTCTGAGCGTCAGTAAGCGGAACATACTATAACAAACATAAATAAATGAATAAATTATATGAACAAATGGAAAATAAAAATTAGAAAGAATATCATACCATGACACCCATTAAAGATTTCTTCGTGACGTTTCCATCACTATCTTTATCAATTTGATAAATATATTGGTTATGATTTCCCACTGGAATAAATATCCTACAAGTAATTAAGTCAATTTCAACGTCAATGTTCATATGTCAAGGATAATATGTCAAGGATAATAGTGATACGAACGTACCGTCCGGGTGATTTTAATTGATCAATCAAATCCTGAGGTAATTTTTCAGCGGCAGCTCCAACATGGCTATTCGATTCCATAACGGATATTAATCCAAATAAACGTTAAATGATAAAAAGACAAAACCATAGACAGGCACGTAAGATGTACATGCAATCATAAGGCGCCTCTTCCGGATATCCTTTTCTGCCATCTCCAAGTACAAATATCACTCTTTGGGACTCCAAAAGTTCCGGTCGATCATTCATTACATTATCTTTGGCTAAATTCACGAGTTGAGGAATATGGTCTATACCGATAACTTTGCCCTCAGGTCCAACCTAAAGCGTATTTCAACTGATATTAAGTAAATATACCAAACAATAACTGTTATAATTTATGATGCTGAGTTACCATCTCCGCTAGACAAGCAGTTAGATATCCAGAACCGCATCCAACGTCTAACACTACATAAAAATTCAAAAATAAATGAAATTTTGTCGTGCAATGTTTAGAGGAGTGCCGTTTATTAAGTAATTTTAGAGGGGGAGGTTAGCAGTCATCGTCTATTTGTTATATGATTGGCTGCCATGCCAATTCGATCATTTAGGGGAGGAGGTCTGACCTTTTAAAAAGAAATTACATAATAGACGGCACTCCCATTAGATACATATTCACTTACCTTTCATGCCAGGTCGCAAAAAAGGAGTCAAATTTTCCAAAGCGTGGGCGTGCATATGACTTGAGTAAAACATTAAAAGTTATTGATCTATCAATCCAAAAAAAGATGCGATAACAACTTTAAACTTTTTCAATCTACTCTTACGGTGCAGAAATAGTAGCTCCATAACCTATTTGTTGAGGTGAATCGCGGTACGGATCGTATTTCACATATTTTCCTCTATCAACTGATTTCATAGCTTGCTCAACCCGATCAGACTGAAATATTCCAGCCCTTTTTAAATTATTTACCAAGCCGCTATTATTGTTTGCTATAATAACGAATAATGTCTTTTAATTACGTGTACATAAAAAAAATAAGGGCATAAAATTTTTTCTGCTTAATTACCAGAACAGAACCACGCCATGCTTGAAGAATTATTTCGAACGTTTTTTTCAAAACTATCGAAGATACAAAATTTATGAGAAATGCTTAATAAATTCGAGTGAGACGTTCGATTTTTTGAAAGAAGACAAGCTCCAGCTGGTAAGAAGGCGCATGTAAGAATCGTAAGAGATAATCGAATAAAAGTTGGTGTTACGCAAGACATGAATCGACGAACAATTTTACGAAGATTATACATGTGATAACATGATAACAAAAAAATCTTATGTTCAACGTTGATTAGCACGTGAGGTTCAAATTATATCATTTTTTCTTAACGATCACGGGGTCCTGTGATCGATTTTCGTTGGAATCTTATCAAGATGGTCATTTTTGGACTAGCGCTATTTACCGCAATAGTTAGGTTTGTATTAAAATCCAATAATCAGCTGATAAGATATCATCGTCACGTATTGATGTTGTCAGAATCCCACGAGATCCCAATCTTTCGATATTTAAATATTGCTACTTTTGTAGATAATAAAAAGGTGTGTAACAATGATGCTTATTATTATCTGTAACTACATAAAAATCAATCAGATATAATCAAATCATCC